AGCAGGGAGCCCGATGCGGGGCTCGATCCCAGGACCCTGGGATCATGACCTGAGCCGAAGGCAGACGCTTAACTGACTGAGCCACCCAGGTGTCCCTTCCATCAGTAGTTCTGAACTAAGGTCACACCCCCAGGAGGCAAGTGGCAATGTCTGAAGACACTTTTGACTGTCACTGTCATAATGGGGTGCTACTGGCTTCTATAGGGTAGAGGCCAGGGATGCTGCTAAACATCTGTAATACAGAGGACAGCCCCCTCCACAACAAAGAATTATCCTGTCCAAAATGTCAATAGTGCTGAGGTTGAGAAACCCTTGTCTAATGAGGGACGTCCCACTGCAACCTTCTAGGAGCCTACAGTTGGGGTGAGAGAGGGAGAGAAAATCAGATGGACACTGTAACAGAGAATAAGGTTGGGCCCTGTGAGGGCTGCATATGCTCTGGGATGGTTCTGCTGGTCTGGACCAGTTGCCCCCAGCCTGTAAGTATGGGGCACGTGGAAAAAGGCTCAGGGTGATAAGTGTGGGAGACAGAGGGTTACAGGAAGTTAGACATATTTCTCCAGTGCAAGGCTGATTCTTGTTTTTAATGCACTGATGTACAGTGTGACTTTAAGGCGGGGAGAATGCAGCATTTCCAATGTTATCTGAAGAGAAGCTTGCAGTCCAAGTTCACATGCAGTGGGCTACAATTTGAGAAATGGTAAAATCGATGATCTCAAGGATAATTCCAGTACTTCAAAATGGAATATGACCCTGAAGATGATGCAGGGCAAAAACAAGAAGTCTTTTCTTTTTGTTCTCATAAGAAGGGGTTGCTCATTTTACAGAATTGGGGCACTTTATTCATAATAAATATTCTCTTGCCTCTCCCTTTTATGAGCCAGGCATGAAGGAGACTGTTTCTCTAGGGTAGGGGGTAGCACCACTGGTTTACACGTGGGGAGTGACTACAGCAGAGGAGGAAGTGGGAGGAGGAAGAGGAAGGAAGTGAGGGAAAGCCTGGCGCCCCACGAGATCCTCTGAGCCCCAAGGCCTTCCATGCATGGAGCTGGGTGGGGAAGCTGCCATTTGCTTTTTTGGTTAATGAGACTCTCAGGATGCTATTAGAGATGTAGCGAATGCAAAACAGTTTGAAATGGAAAATGCTGACGGATATGAGATATTCTCTGAAACTGTGTCAATATGTTCTTTCTCCCTTTATTCATACCACCATGTTGCCAGGCACTGTTGCTGCGATTCTATAGATGAAGAAGATACCCCTTAGACCAACTCCACTCTTTCCAGGCATCCAGACTGAAGGGGACACAGACACACCCAGAAAGAGCCTCAGTGGTATTAAAATGGCTATTTCTACAGTCTGTCCTGGGCTACCTGCAATGCTGGAAAAGGCAAAGCCTTGGACTCTAATCTCAGCCTGAACACTAGCCCAACACAGCCCATGGTCAAGTTTCTTATCTGACAGTGAGATAGTTACATCAGGAGTTGGCATACTACATTCCATTGGCTGAGTCTGGCCCATCCCCTATTTTTGTACAGCCTGTGAAGTAAGAAAAGTTTTTACATTGTGACATGGTCGGAAAAAAAAATCAAAAGAAGATTACTGACACAGGAAAATGATATGAAATTTGAATTTCAGTGTCCTGAAATAGAGATTTATGGGAACATAATCACATTCATTCATTTACATATTGCCTATGGATGCTTTCACGCTACGAGGGCCAAGTTGACTAGTTGTGCCAGAGACCATATGGCCTGCCAAACCGAAAATGTTTATGAACAGGCTGTTTACAGAAAGGTAGCTGACCCTTGGTTTTCAAACTTTGCTGCACATCTAAATCACCTGGGGAGCTCAGTAGACTTGGAGATGCCCCACCCTGGCTCCAGCTAGTCAGATTCCATGGGTCCGGAGTGGGATCTGGGCAGGGGTACTTGTAATCCTGTTCAAAGGGGATCTGGATGCCCATCAAAGTGCCAGAATCCTTAGTCGGTGCCTTTCAGGAACTTAAGCAGCTCTGGTTGACTTTCTCTGGTCTCTCAAAAAGCACAGGAAGCCCAGCTCTTTGGGCAGAGTCATCTGTGAAGATCCCACTGCCCCAGGGAGAAGAGGCAGAGCTAACACTGGCCACCTACACCAGCATGGAGACAGGACCTCCTCAGAGGGGGTGCCGCAATGAGGATGCTGGGAGAATCCAAAGAACGACCCCGAAGAATGTGAAAATGGGTGATCTGAAGAGCCAGTGGTCTGTCTCCCATTTGTCATACCATGTCCCCTGAAGGCTTTCCTCAGGGGTTCCCTGGGGTTCTTCTCCACTCACTGAAGTCAGTGTGCATTAAAAAAAAAAAGCGATTAGGATTATGATAATATAAAAAAAAGAATGTCTGCCTGCAAGGAAGAGACTTTCTGGCTCTCTCTGAAAAGCCTGGAGTCCTGGACGTGTGTGTCCCCCTGCCCTGAAGGGTGGGTCAGCCTCCTGAGGATAGCTCAGAAGGCCAGGGAACCTGACATGTCCATCAGGGAAGCAGGAAGCTGCAGACCGCCAGGGGAGCCTCCCCTTCTGTTTTCATGAAAGTCTGCTCTTGCCTTCTCTCTGTACCCTTCTCTCCAAGTAATTCTACCATTTGCCACTGATACTAATTACCATGCTAATTCTGCTAACCATGTCACTAGTTTGATTACAGACAGCTTGCCTGAAACTATGGATTGTAAAGCCAGAAGTGGAGCCTAGAGCACATGGGCTCCAACGTTCCCATTTTTTAGATAGGAAAGGTGAGGCTTACAGAAGGGAAGTGTTTTTTCAAGCTGAGTCAGCACATGAATTTGTCCTATGATTATTAGTTGGGGGACTTGCTTATTAAAGCAGGCCGGCTGTCACTTGGGTCATTCAAATATCTTTCAAACTACTGAAAGTATGAGAACTGGAGCATAAAAATGCTTTCACGTGGTTTCCCCCCCTAAGTTTCTGGGACCGCCTGGCTCCAGTATGGCTTGAATTTAGGTCCCCGTTAAAGTTATTCCAACCAAAGACAACACTTGATATTTGGGACCTGAAGCTACAATCTGCATTTCTCAAGGATCAATTTACTTGATGTTCAAGTCCTTTGTAGAATGGCGGGGGAATGTGGGGATTAAAACCGTGCTGACATTCCTGCTTATAGCCCAGAAGAACAGGGCCCAGAATTGCCATCCTGCCATAAACAGCTAGAAAACCAGACAAAATATGTTGAATGAACCTTTTCAGATGTCAGACAACAGGCAGCAAGGGACTGATCCTTGAGAGGGGAAAACATTATTGAACTGAGTCGGTGGGTGCATTCAGGGAACATTACCCCCTGCCCTAAGGATTCTAAAAGGAGGTATCCCAGCTGTTTTTGGAGAGCTGATGAGGAGTCAGCATTTTTCTGTGACACCCTGATGGCAGATTCAGGACCAGGGGGAGAAAGCATAGGGAAGCTGACTCTGCTCAAGACCAGAAAGAGCTCGAGTGGCCAAAACAGATGTGTGGGGCGTTCCCCCAATGGGGAGTGTGTTCGCTTTGGGAGGAATTTGTGTGGGGGATGGAGTGGGGTTTGGACGACCTTGAAGGTCCCCTGCATCCAGAAGACCACATGAGCTCCTGTGAGGTCAAGAACTGTCAGGGAACGGAGTTAAGGAACAGTCTTGTGCTTCAAAGGCTCATGACCCACAGCACTGCCGAGAGGTTGAGAGCATGGGGGTGGGGTTCACGAAGACCCAAGTTTGAATTCTGCCATGTACTGGATGTCTCCTGCTACCCACTCTCAGTTTTCTGACCTGGAAAATGGAGAAACTAGTACCTACTGCTCAGGGTTACTTCAGCATTTAAATGTAAAAGACTTGGTTCAGCTCAATAAATGTTTTTGCAATTGCCATCTCACAATGGAAGTCAACAACTCTGAGACAAATACCTCCCAAATTGTGCTCCCCCATTGAGTGCCCAAGGAAACCCTCTGGCAGAAGAGACAAAAACTCCCTCTGTGCTCTCGTGCCCTACAGAGGTTAGCCTCTCTCTCCCAGGGCTACCGGGACAGTCACACAGGCTGTGCACTGCACACCTCCAGTGGGTGCCATCCATGTAGATGCCGATGGCAGTAGCGCCCGGGAGTTGTGTGGTGGGGTGGCCCTACCTCTGGTTTCCAGAGTCCAGCTGGATCTTATGGCCCTCCCTTGTGGGTATGAATGCACCACAGCCTGGTTTTTAAGTCCTGTGGACACAGTGACTTTTATTTCGGGCCCAGGGGCACTCAGATCAAAACAGGGGCGATTACACAGTATGGGGAGATCAACCGCATGCACCAAGACCCAGGATACAGCAATCCAGAGAGGACCAGGCACCGACTAACAACTGCTCACATCTTCCCAGTGCGGCCTTGGTGGGCTGAGCTTGGTGATCCTCGCCTCGAAATGGTGTGTGAAGCACTAAACTCCTTTCTCATCTTGGCTCCCAAGGGCCTCTCTGTCATTTCTGAATTAGGCAAAGCAGGAGTGCATTCACTCCAGACCAAGTCCTCCCTGAAATGCATGCATCTTAAGCAGTCCCAGCAGAGCAGAATGACCAGTGGTTCCCAGAAAGGACAGCCAAGAAATGAAAGCAGGCAGAGCCTCTCCTGACAAATTCTGTTACCTCCATGGATGTGGCTCGAAGCCTGAACACGTCCCCTTGCATTTCAAACAAGGCACACCTCTTGCTGACTGCTGCTGGCCCAGGGACATCTGGAAAAGGAGACAGAAAAGAGGGTGTTTTCCTTCCAAAAGCTTGGACCGGGGATCGCTTGACCTCTAAAAGACTTGGCATGCCAGTAAAGGGATTGTGTGGGGTTCAAAGGGCTCGAGATGAATAAGCCATCAGTTACTGTTTACCAAGAATGGAGAAGACCAGCCGGGAAAGTGGCCATAGGGCTGGCAAGTGTGGAAGGGTGGGGCCCTTCCCAATAAAAATGGAATGAGGCGGGGGCTTTCGGTGCTGTTGCCAGCCAGCCACCAGGGCTCCGTTGGAAACCCCCTGCTGTGAGGGATCATCTCCTCCTTCCTCCATATTCACCAGCTCCCCTGGTAGGTCCACTTGTCACTGGAATGGAATCTTCCAGCGAGTGCCTCCTCTCCCTCCTTTTGTGATTTATTGATAGGGTGTGATTAAACCAAAGCTACAGGCACAAACAAATGTTCATGTTGCCAAATGTTTATAGCTCAAAGCAGAACTTAAATATTTTGCTAAAACACGGAAAACCAGGAGCATTTGAAGTCTGGTGGTCCTTTGGAAGGAAAACAACACACAGGACAGGTTTTATTCTTTGTCACCAGCTGTGCTGCTGCTGTGTTGAGACCCAGCTGGCTCTCCAACGGGGTCTTCAAATCAGCAGCCTCGGCGGGAAGCTTGCCAGAAACACAGCCCCTCAGGTCCTGCCCCAGACCTTCTGATTCAGAATATGCACTTCCATGAAATTCCAGGAGATTTGTATTACATTAAAATTGAAGAAGGGGGTTAGTGTATGGATCTGCTGGCTGAGAAACTTACCTAACTCTCCATTGGGGGTGGGGATGACTTGCTACAGTTAATGCACATGTATTACGGTTTTATCAAGAACAAGGCTTCATCAACTCATAAGATAAAGGGATAAGCTCCTCATTCAACAGATTATTGATTCATCTAACCATTTATTTAGCATATGTCAGGCACAGGGATACATCATAGGACTCGGGTGTGCCCTAGAGGTACTCATAGACTAGAGGGAGATGAAGAAGCACATACTTATCACCTGCTTCTGGAAGGGGTAAGTTTGAGGCAGAGGAAGCTGCCTGTTATATAGCAGAAAGGCATGGACTTTGGAGCCTGGGAGACCTGGATTCCAAACCCAGCATCATGACTCAACAGCCATCCTGGCCTTGGACACACTGGGCTTCAGTCTCCTTACTTGTCAAATGGGTACAAAGATAATGTATGTAAAGTGCCCGCTCACACTGGGTACTAAAAACTGGTAGCTGGTGTTATTTTGCACACAGACTTTAGGCGCACAGAGGAAGGTGTGAATAAACCTGTACGGGAAGTCCAGGGAGGCTTCTTAGAGGAGGTGACTCTGGATGGGGGTTAGGCAAAATGAGCAGGCAGAAAGGAGAAGGGAGAAAATGTGTAAGGGCAAAAAGATACAAGAGGACGTGATGGGTGGGATGTTGCAATCTGAGCATTACTCCTTTACTCTCTTTGCTTTTAAGTGGGGAAAAAACAAGCAGTGGAACATGGGAGACTGTCCTCATCATTACGGTTAGAATTCAAAGAAGTACATGAGAAGACACACTCATTCTTCACAATATTTCTCTTCTGTACCTCAGATCTTCCCACAGTGACACCTAGCTCCCTATCTCTCACTGGACAGCTGCTGTTCGCACCATGTCCTCTCGGACTGCGCTGTTCTCATGCACATTCACAACTCTGCGGAGTAAGCGCCATGCTGCACACATTTGATAGAGAGCATGTTCACATTTGTGCCTGGTCAGTGCTAGCTTCTTGTTAACAAAGAAAAACAAGAAGATGCTCACCACCAACTCCTCGTCCGAAGCTGGGGAGCTTTCCTTCACAGGTAGAACTTTGTTCTCTAAAACCCTGGCATCGAACACCTTGCAAACCTCCACCTCTCACTGCTTCTGCCTCTTGTCACCTTGGATTCTACCAGTTGAAACACAGTGATCCTTTCACGCTTCATGTTTGAGTGAGCCAATGGTTATTTTGGAAGGTATACAACTTATGAATAAGGCTTCGTTGTTGGATCGTTTTAGAAAGACCCAGAGGCAGCAAAGCCTGGAAACAGAAGAGCTATGTGGAAGCATTTCATAAGTGGCAAAGCACCCTGCGTGCGGGCACTGCTGTTCTTCTAATGAGTGGCTGATTTAACAGTCATCCTATAAGGGGATTAGTCCTGATGCTTGGCCGGAGAGCTGGGCTGCCGGCTCAGGGTTTGCTTAGAAATAGTGATGTGAGGCTGCAGAGCACAGCAGAGCACGGCCCGTGGGGCAGGGCGCTGACTCTGTGGTGCGGGCTCTGACATTTATTAGCTGTGCAGCTAGAGGCAACTCATTTCCTCCCGCAGCCCAAGTTGCTCCTCTGTAAGATGAGAAAACTGGCCTGGATTGAGACTGCCGGAATCCTGTTCCACAGAATCCTCATTCTGTGAGATGTTGCAAAGGGGTTGTTGATGGCTGGGGGTGGGAACGATTACATGATCAAATAAAAATGGTGGACACTGGATGTGACATGGCTTTTGGAGCCTCTGAGGTGCTAGCCCAGCTCTTTCAAGTGGAGAGGTCCAGGCTTTGGGGTCACAAGGTCTGGATTTTTAGACCTAAATTTGTTCCTTTCTTCTGCTGGACTTGGGCAAGTGACTGGACTTGCAGAGTCTCCAGTTTCTCCCTCTGGGTCGTGGAGATAGTAAGAACCAATGTGCGTAGCGGAGCTACTGGGAAGGTTAAATGGGTTGCTACAAGGAAAGGGCTTGGCATGCACATATTATGCACTGGATGTTTGTTCTCCTTGTCAGCACCCCTTGTGTAAATGGTCTGAGAGACCCTGAATCAGATGTTCTAAAAAAAAAAAAAAATTTCCTTTTCCAGCTTCAGAATCCTAGGGAACTTTAGAGGAACTACTTTCTAACTCCACACCTCATATACTTTCTTCCTGTTGCCTTTGCTTCGTGTAAGTGTTGCCTCTCTGACTAAGTGCAGGAAGCAGAGAGTTGGCCTTAGTCTCCATCCTGCTAGTGGGACAGTTTCCATGGCGACAGAAATCCGTGGGAGAGAAAAATAAATGGCCTTGCAAGGAAGAAGCAGATTTGGGCCATCAGGCCACACTTGCAGCCAGTTTCCTGGCCGACTGCTTAACACAATAAATAGCCATTTGTCCCCTGCATGTCATTCATCCAGGAGCCAGACAGACCCGGCTGTGTCAGACACAGAAAATGATGATCCTGTTTATTGAGAAGAGGAAAACATCAACCAGAAGCAGTGTTTCAGGCAAGATATTCTGGTTTATAAACAGTAGGTTTCTCTGATGTGGACTCTGTCTTGGATGAAAGATGGCATAGTGGCAGCTCACAGTGCCTCACAGTAGCTGAAAACAGAAGAGCTTAAAAGGAGCCATCACTTTAAAAAAATGGGTTCCTGGAATGTAGCATCTATTCTATCATTTTTCCTGAGGGGAGATAACCTGTTTTGACAATTTTCTTTGGCTTGGGAGAGTAGGATGTTGTGGAACTGAATCGCATCAGGAACTTAAAAGGTCTTAGCTCAGGCCAGGAGCCCTGGGGACGCAAGGGCTGGGGAGCAACAGGGCCTCCTCCCCCCTTTGATCATCTCCTTCAGGTGAACCCCCAGGGGAAGTCTTACAGGGGGGACAATGTCACCAAGAACAAGGTAGGACAGAAATGAAGAAGGGAAAAGAAGAAATGCAATATGGAGTTTAGGAACGAATGTGGGACTCGGGGTTAGACAATGGGAATTCTCCTCCCATATGTAACTCGGTTTCCTCCTCTGCAAAATGGGTTTTCCCTGCCCCTTTTTGCCTCCATAGGGCTGTTGTGAGCATCAAGTCAGATTAAAAGGTTGTTTGTAAAGTAAAATATTTACCATTGTTAAAAAAATTACCCAAAATTTGGGCATAAGGCAGAAAAGTAGGTGGCAGGTCCTCTCAGTGGCATATGGTGGCGATAGTCCCCTCAAGGATTATCTAGACTTATTTACTTTGCTGTACTCCCAGACTTGGTGAAGCTACATGTTAACTTGGAGATTTTTGTCTGGTAAAGATACAAATATAAGGAGTTTTTATCTTTTTTAAAATAGATAACCTTTTTTAAAATAGATAACCTGAAGGTTATGGTTATTGTCCTATTAGCTAGTTATGTACCTAACCCATCAATCTTGTCCAAACATTAAATTTCCTATAAATACCCAGCCCCTCAAATGCTTTTTGAACTGGTCTAAATATCTTGCTGATTACTTCATTAACTAATGAGTTGAATAAAATCTTTGCTGAGTTTTATTTTATTTTTACAACAGTCATGATTTTACGTTTCTGGAAATTCTATCTTCAGACCATCACATGCCCTCCTGACCATCCGTGGGTTTGCTTTCTGAGCTAGGGTGTTCTGAATATTGACAATAAATTCTATTCCAGGTCAGTCACTCTGACTCGTCTACAGGTAAACTCTCTAGGCATATGTGTCATTAAAGATTATTAGCCAACATGATTTGCTACTTGAAAACAAACCCTTTCCTCCCCACCAAGGAGAGAAGGTGGAGCGAAGGCAGTGGAGGGTGGAGTGAGATGAACTTACGAGAAGGTCTGGAAAAGAACTGCCATCATAAACAGAAAACAATGATCTCAGAAACTCCTCTACAGCTGTCACCAACTCCAAAATGTGAACAGCTTGACAATCCATGGAGTGATTTTACTTACTTAAGCATTCTCTTCCTGGACACTTGACAACCCTGTGAAGTATAATCATTATTCCTAATCAACAGAGGATGCACGACAGTCTGAGAGAGAAGCACCTTGTCCATTCAGAATGCTCTAGACTGGAGCTCCTATGGGGAAGGGGGGCGGGGGGTCTCCTCACTCTACCCTCATCTGTACTGGGCTTGAAGCAAAAATGTAATAGCTTTCTTAATGATTCCGACTGTAGCTAACATTTATTGAGTACACCTTATGTCCTGGGCATATGCCAAGC